GCGGCCATTTTTCATTTTTAGGCCGCATTTTTGTCTTATTTTAGTTCGATTTTTTATTTACACATCAGATAACGTCTGTAGACGTTATAGACTGCTTAATTATCCAACTATCTTTTTTAGCCGTTTTATTGTCTTCAAAGCTTAAAAGGCTATGCAATCTAAAAAATCTAACCAAAATGCGGCCAATTTTTATTTTTTGGCCACCCAGATGGAATCATGAAATTCGTTTGCGGCCAATTTTTTATTTCTGGCCACGTAAAAAAAATAGTATTCATATGCATCCCGATAACGCATTCACTTGTATGACATCATTCGATTTCGTCATAAAATAGACTATTTTGTGGTCAATGATGCATTGATCAGTATTCTGCATTTTCAGATTCTGCCATGTAGCATTCGTGTCCATCGTCAACACGTGTTGACGGTCATCTATAAGTATCACTCCAGGAAAGGTGTTAATGGCATTTTTTTCTTGTCATTGAAAAATCTTTGATGACATTTTTTTTTAAATCTTACTTTTGTGTATCACTTTTCTGTATTGGTATATCAAAAAATTGGATAATGACAGGTAAGCATATAAATCCCATACATAGTATTGTAATTAAAATATATATGATTAAGCGTGAGTTTAGTGGCGTTTTTTTAAAAATATTTTTGTCAGTAGTTGTCAGTAGTTGAATATGATCAACTACTGACACCTTTCTTAGTCTAGTTGAGCTTCCTAGTCTTTTTCTCTTCTTTCTTGATTACTTTATTATAAGTGTCAGTAGTGTCAGTAGTAAAAAATCTATTTCTAGGAAAAAAAATGAAACTTTTCCTATATATGATATATATATATGGTATATATGTGGTATATGTACGTATACATAAAAAAAAATAAAAAAAAACGGAAATCGGATAAAAATACTACTGACACTACTGACACTACTGACACTTATCAAGAAGACTCGCTTTCGGGCTTGGAACTCCAGGAAAGGTGTCAGTGGTATTTTTTTTTACTGCTGACAACTGCTGACAACTGCTGACACTTAATTGGAGTGTATTTATATGCTGGAATTTCCTCAACTATAATTTACCCCCTCCCCCCTTCCACTTCAGATGACTCCTGGGTGAGCTTTTCAGACTTTTTCCAATAGTATCCTGCCTTGCTTCAGTGTTTTTTAGCATGAGTATCGCAAAAACCATAATCAGAATTAGTTAACTTGCTACACTCTCCGCAAGGAACACATGGTGGAGAATCCCAATGAACTTTACAGCCTTCTGGGCGGTAACATCCCCAGTTACATTCCTTACCAGTTCTAAGAATATAGGAGCAACGGAAAAATGCCATATGTATACAATATGATAATTAAAATTTGTTTATTTATATTCTCCGGAATTAATTTTCATTTTGAATTATTTTATTGCGAATATTATACTGCCAGAATAAAGATGTCAATATATAGTGAAAATAGCGAAGCTAGCACAGCCAATTCTGCCATTGAATCTTCTGAAACCTCTGAAGCCCCTGAATCCCCCTTCGAGGGTGTTAACAGCACCTTCTTTCACCGTGGACACAACGCTGAGAGCGTTAAAGAATATAATTATAAAATTCGTGACGATAGTGTAAGACCAAGAGAATTTCTCGGAACAGATAATGAGGATGGAATAGAATCTATACTCGAAGATCGTAATGGACATTCCTTACATGAGTATATTGATGGAGATGATCCACTCTGTCCTTTTATCGATTTTGATTTACCTATTGAATGTCTCAATAAAATAGAACCTAAAATTACTTTGCCGTACCTTTAAAGAAGTTTGCGTAGAGATATATCCAGATTGGGATATAAACACTTTGACTATTGCCAGTAGTAGCGATTCGAAAAAAATATCACTACATATTTCGACTTTCGGTCTCTGACTCAAAAATATTTCCAAAGTTGCCAAATTTACTGAGTTGGTTCATAAGAAACTCCTGGTAGCTTTACAAAGCAAGAATATTGTTGATAACATAGCAAATAAAAAATCATTTTCTTTACAGATTGTTTGAATGCCAAAATTCATTGAAGAAACTAATGAGCATGTCGAGTAAAGAAAGCTCTATATCCAAAAGATGAATATGTTTTTAATTTTATGCTTCGTCCTCCTCATGTTGAATCGCCAATTGTAGATAGTCCGATTTTAGCCATGTTAGCTTCGCTAAATGTTCCTGAAGAAAAGACAATAAAAAGTTTTGAAAACAATTCCGGAAGTTTTGAAGCTGAATTAGAATACGTAAAAAATCTACTCGCTTTATAAAATATTGATGGTTTTGAAGTTTTATATCCAGGGTCCACACATCCAAATATATTCACCTTAAGATGCAAATCAGCTTCTAATTGTCTGTTATGTAAATGAGAACATAGTGGTGATAATGCATATATAGTTCGAAATAAAAAAACTTATCGTTATCATTGTTATCGTGCAGATCAAGAAACTCCTTCAGGTGTAAAAAAACCATCATTAAAACTTGTAATTAATGAAACAGTTGAGGATCAAGAAAAAACTCTTCCAATACCGGAAAAAATAGAACAATCCAGAATTTCAGACTCAAATGATCATTTCATATGGGGTGATTTACTTCGTATGTGTATGTCTAAGAAAAAGTTTACGCGTGATGAGGCATATAGTGCAATCCAAGCAACAATAGCATGTGTTGAGCAGAGAAAACTAACCTGGATAGTTAAGCTTAAAAATTCTGATGGTCTTTATTTTGATATGGGACGTGAACTGGAACTAGCAAAGCATACAATTAATATAATTGAGCATGGGGGAGAAGCAGTAAAATTGCAATCCTTGATAGATAGAGCAGTTACGGAAAATTTAATACATTACGATGAAATTGATTTTCTCCCATACCCACCAAATGTAATTCCACCAAAAACAAATTTCTTTAATCTTTTCCTGGGATTTGCAGCTACACCAGCACCAGGAATTAATAAAGAATTTATGGATCCTATCCTTTGGCACGTAAAAAATGTAATTTGTGATGAAAATAATGAACTTATCGAATATATCTGGAACTGGTGGGCATTCTTAGTGCAAAAACCAGAAAAAAAACCTCGTTCAATCTGTGTATTAAAGTCTACTCTTCAACAATGCGGAAAAAATATTATCATTGATTTTATTGGCGATAAAGTCTTAGGACCAAAGCTCTATTATGCAACATCTGATTTAGGGAAAATTCTTGGAAAATTCAACAGTCTTATTCAAGGTAAAAAGTTAGTAGTTATGAATGAGACAGGGATGGCTAGCGGAGAATGGCATAAATTTAACGAGCATCTTAAAGCACTCATAACGGAACCAAAAGTGTCTATAGAACGTAAAGGTCTTGAACCTATTCATTTAAAAGATTACTCTGCATTTATGGTTACAAGCAATCAGGATGCACCACTTAAAATAGATGCAGGAGATGCTCGTATAGTTTGTTTTGATGTATCTGCACGCTGTAGAGGGAATATACCATATTTCAAACGTTTGGCTAAAATACTAGAACATCCAGATGCACCAGGAGTAGTTATGAGATATCTTTTAAATCGTGATTTATCTAATTGGGATCCACAAGATATTCCTAGTACCAAAATGAAAACAGATACAATGATGAAGCAACTTTCTAACCCTATACGCTTTGTAATACAACATATTTCATCATGGTCTGAGAATCAAATCGAAAAACCAATTTGCGGAAATCTATATCAAAATTATATCACTTGGTGTGAAAGCAATGGCGAGGGACGAATCAGTAACAATAAATTTGGAGGTTTTCTCCCACCAATAGGAATAGAGAAAAAACAGGTACGAGTTAATGGAAAAAGGGAATCTGTTTACATCATCGACCATTCCAAAATAGTAGCTAAGTTACACGAATCCATTGGTGATATCAAAGATTTTGAGTTGGAAACTCATGGCCTTCCCACTTCTGATATTTCACAAGATAGCTTACCTACTAAAACTTCTATGGAAGAAATCCCAGTATTTAACGTTCCTGAAACAAAGGAAGAAGAAAACGAACCGGAAAAAATAAATACTGAAAAAATAAAATCAGTCCCTTCAGAACAATCCAATATATCATGTAATATAAAAACCGTTACCAATATTAGCGATCAAAATTCAGATCCAAATTACATCAACAATAATCAGGATAAATCGCTTGATGAACCTGTTGTAAATTCTTCCAAAATCATTGAAACCCTTGAAGCTGTTAGCAATGAATTGGAAATATCCTCCAACATATCTGAAAGCGATAAAACCGAAAATGCGGAGCATAGAGTCTCTGACTCATCTAATAACGAAGAAGATACATCAAAACCAGTTCCATTACCATCCGATTACTTGACCCGGGAACAACGAGAAAAACGTCTAAGGCAATGGGCAATCGATCATGGTGAGGATCCAGATAAGTTTATGACTATTACTGAAAAAGATATTAATTTATCTACAACATACCGAGATAGAATGATGTCAGATGCCGATATGATTCAGTTTGCAAAAGAGACTGATGATGATCCAGATTCGCTAATGAATATGACTAGGAGAGAAAGATTAATAAGTGAAGAAATATATTTACGTGAATGGGAGGAAGAAGGAATACAACAATCATATATTTTCGATGATGAAGAGTGGAAAAAAAATATAGCCATTCTTCAAGAAAATGGATATCTAAGGTAATTCAGGACCTATCAGAAGGAACAAATAATGACGAACTAATTCCCCTGACACATAATTTTTACAGCCGAATATTTGATAAAGGGTTTTTTTTTCGTCCTTTACAACTACCGTATATAAAAATCAAAATTAAAATAAATTAATTTTACATAATAACGGAATGTCTATTCAAACCATGTATATCGAAAAACTGATATATAATAAAGAAACAATTACCTCAAAGCCCAAAAGTATTAGTTTTACTTCCATTTTGGACCAGATCCTAAAAAAATATAACTTGTCCGCCAAATCCAACCCATCTCAATTACGCGAATATGCTAGTGAGCTCGGTGCTATGCTTCTAGATTGGAAAGCCCGAAAAAGCGTGAAAGAAGCTCTTTGTCGACGCTTATTCAAAGAAGATCAGATAAAGGCTCTTGTACCGGATAAAAGAAATGAAAAACTTACTATTAGGGAGAGAGCTCAATATTGCGCTAAAAGTGGTAATCCATATGATATTTACATGCTTTAGATTTAATCAAGACAAAAAACGATAGTGATGAAGAAATTGTCGCATCCAGCTCACGTCTTACATTATTTCGTAAGGAATTGAAAGAAGCTGGAGTTGA